TCTATTAAAACTGGCTTTAAAAGCCTTCCCTGATCCACGTTAAAAGCTTTTTCATAGAAGTCAAGAATACTAGATTTTAACCAGGTTATATGATATCAGAAAGTTACATATACATTATTGGCAATAAAAAAAGAAAACATATATACTATCTTTGATCCTTAATATAAAAACTAATTAAAAATTCAATTGGTTTCAAATATAAGATCATAATCCATTTTGCCTCATATATATATCCATTTTACTTTCAGTTAATCTGTATGGTAAAGGCAAGAATTGTTTCAATACACAGTATTAGTAAACATATTTTTAAAAAGGCAATGCCTATTTATTACAAATAACTAACTTAACTAATTTTTTTAATATTTATAAATTAGTTAATTAATTTTATATTAAGTACTGGAGGTAGTATATTATATACATTCTAAACATCCTAAGCTCTTGATTAATTCTAAATATGACCATTTATTTCTCAAATACCATACAGTGCACAAAACTCACTTTTACAAATAAATCAATAACATAACTCCAAATCTCTTAAGGAATAATAATAATGACAATAACATTATTATCATTATAATAATAATAATAATAATAATAATAATAATAATAATAATAATAATAATGCTGAATTTATGTTCAGACAATCATAAATTAATTCATTTTTCATATACAAAACCCTTAAAATAATAAAATGTTAAATTAGGATTTTTCATATATTTATTTTATAAACCAATAAAAATGATTGATGGGAAACAAAACCCAATTATGAAGATCGAATCAATTTGCCTAATGTGGCTGTAAAAATCAAATCAAGTTGCCCAATAGGGCTGCAAATCAAATTTTGAAAGTGACTTTTCTATGCTTAGAAGTTCAAAATTTGTACTGCTAAAAGCATTTCCATTACATGTGGCTTGTTAAATCATGTATCCATTGGATAATCTTTTTGGGTCAATAGTAATTAACCCAAATGTCTGGGAATAATTTATTTCTCCCTAAACTAGTAATTTAACTATTTGGGGCTTTGTCAAATCCAATCAACTATAGTATTGATTAATTAATATTATATATATAATTTAACTTCTTTACAAAATGGATTCCTTTAGAATGTTTCATACATCTTGAAATATCCATTTTCTCCATTAAGAGATCAAGTTACTCTTGCCTTTAATTACTTCTTATTAACTTAACATTAAAGATAAAAAAAATTAATTGTTCACACGCACACACAAAAGTATTCATCTTTGATTTTCGAGAAGGACTTTTGGTGCCGATCGAAGTAGGCAATTTTCGGTTCTTCAAAATGTGCTCTGCTTCAAAAAGTATGATAACCAAATAGCTTAAAATGCAAAAAATGGTACTTTTGACATCTCAAAAATTGAATCCAAAACAAATTGTGTCTTCAGTCTTATTTAAGAACTGCTTTAATTTGTCATTTGTTATAATGCCACGTCTTTTTGTTTGGGCGAATGCCATGTCATCTAATGCAAATTGTATTTTACTTATTAGTGTGACAGATGATATATAGTTCGACAAGAAAAAGGAACAAATCAAAATATATAGTGTTACAATATTTCTAAATAAATTAGCCTAAAAATCTACCAATTGCCTTGTGACAGATGATATATAGTTCGACAAGAAAAAGGAACAAATCAAAATATATAGTGTTACAATATTTCTAAATAAATTAGCCTAAAAATCTACCAATTGCCTTGAATTAACTAAGTCTTGTGATAGCTAGACTGAAAATATTTATTATTTAATTGATACCCTTAATTTAAACTTTCTTTATTGGTAAAGTTTGATTAAAAGTTAAGGGAGATCAAGTCAAAATAAAGAACGGATTAATTGTCATTGAATATAGAATCGTCATATTTTTTTAAAAAATATTTGAAAGGTCGACCAAACATTTTATAATGCACAAATTTCTTATATAAGTAACAGGATCTGCCACATGGCAAATTTCAAATAAAAAAATTCTAAACACTTCAAATCACTTAAATATTGAACCAACATAATTCAACAAGATTTTAAGGGCTTTGTCTTCTTGCTGATCTACATATATATATATATATATATATATATACTCCTCCGGTCCTTAATATAGGACCTAATTATTAAGTTAATTTTGGTCATAAATATAAGACTTATTTCCCATATTTATCAATTTTTTTAAATTACTTCTATGGATACTCCCTCAACCATAATCAAGTAAGTGAGGAAGAAAGGATATTAAGAAAGATGATTATAGTGTTTTAGAAAAAACATATCATATTTCTTATAATTATCGAACTTACCTAACTTCCTTAATCTAATCAAATTAGTTAAATAGGTCTTATATTAAAGACCGAGGAGTGTGTGTGTGTGTCTGTGTAAGGCTTACAGATCAGTTCCAACTTCCAAATAAAAAAAATTCGTGCTCCTTCATGTTACTTTATAACGGGACAATTTTAATCTGTTTAGTAGATCACTTACACAAAAGGTCAAAATTTTGATTAATTAATTATGTTTAATTTCTATCCCTCAAATATCTGAATTATCCAATGTTCTTGGTCTTCTTAATTTATTTGTTTTTAAAATGGTAATTAATGTTAAAGCTTTTATATACATATTTTCCATGTTATGACCCGTAATTACTCCATTCTCGCCTCATTCTTACCACTCTTGCTATCCTCTATTTTTGACCAAATTTAAGTTAATCACATGTGACTGGCTAATATATTAAATTATTAATATTATTACAAAGGTCGTCTTCCAGCGTTATCCGATCTAATTGAGAGTCCTTCACCCAAAAAAAAAAAAAAGATCTAATTGAGAGTACCTCTCACAAGTAATTCTATTTATTCACAAGGTTTTAAGAGCTTTAAGTTCACGAGAACAGATATTTGTAGTCAATTAAAATGGTTAATGATCTAATTATTTTCTTTCATTAAAGACTTAAAAAAATTTTGTAGGATTAGAAGTATCCTTCACTGATAAAATCTACTAATCTCCCCAAAGACATAAAAAGCAAAAAGTAAAGCCCCGTCCAACTAGCTTTGCTCTATATGAGTTGAGAATTAAACATTCAAACTTACTTGAGAGAGATAAGAGTCTTTGCCTTTTCACTATGTACAAATCAAATCATAATATACATGTTTCTCTATGTTCATAAGATTTGAATCCTCATCCTGCTTATTTATAAAATATTAAGTCCTCTTTATTCTACTTAATCACATTTTGTGTGGGTGAATAGCAGGGTATGGGGTCTCTAGGGCTTCCCTCTAATATTCTGAATTCCTCCAATTTTGATTCATCTTATTTTAACGAATCATTAAAAAAATTTAAAATTGCACCAGTAAGATATTAAAATATCACTAATTTTATCTAGAATCTATTAATAAAAAAAAATAAAAGGTTGAGTTATCATAAAATCCATTAAAAACTATCAAAAAGTGGCACATTAATTAAAGATCTCCCAATCCGTGTATAAATCTACTCCAGCTCTATTGCTACTTTAATTTCCCCCCTTTTCATGGGTTGAACGAACATCTAAACCAGCAAAGTTATCAAGTAATGAACCTTGAATCAGCTCAAAAGGATAAGATATATATATATATATATGCAGGAAAGAAAAACCACAATAATAATAACACTAATATTATAAAATGAGCCATGAAAAAACATTATTGGAGTCATATATATATCCATTCTTTATTTGAACAACAGAAACTTTGAACCAGGCACATGCTTCCAATTACAACTTCTCTCTCTCTTCCCCCCCCCCCCCTCTCTCCCTCTCCTTGGAAACACCAAACTTTCAATAAAATTAAAGTTATATATATGTGTGTCTATGTATATGTAACGCTGGACCAAAAGCTTCGTCAGTACATGAACCTTTTCTGCATCAATATATATGGTATAACCTGGTTAATTACATAGATCGAAAATCCCCCATTCTCTCACAACACGAAGCTTTCTGATTACACATTCATATATATGTGGGTGTGTGTCTTCCTGGGACTTTGCTTATTTCTTCCCTACAACACGTGGGTCTCTGCTATCGCAGAACTGTCTCGTTTCTGCCATTTTGATCACATCATCACATCCAAATACAATGAAGAGATAAGCATATCCATAACACATATATGTGTGCGTAGATATATATATATATATATAGAGAGAGAGAGAGAGAGAGAGACAGAGAGAGCTGGAGTTGAAGAAGCGGAGAGAAAAAGTGATCAGTGTGAGATGCTTCAGCAGAGTTACAGTACTCTAGTCTAATTAGAATGTCACTTTGGTATCCTATTCATGCGACAAACCGAATGCCTCTTTAATTAAAATAATAACGTACAGTAGTGAAAGAAACCCATTTTCATATATGCCCAGTTAGTTTTTTTCCCTTAATTAACCTACATGAAACACAACAATAAGCAGCTAAAATATTAAGGATGTTTCTCTCTGATTACAATTTTGTTTCACGTCTTGGAATATAATGTCAACAAAATTCCTTTGAATTGTTTGTGTATCCTTAATCTATATATTCAGTGTTTCTCTCTCAATAGAGACTGCAAAATTTCTGTGAAAGAAGCCCTAATTGTACAGTCCTATATTGGAAGACATGATGGAAAAATTTGCAAATGATGTTCCCACAAAAAACCCTAATAATAGTAGCATTGAATCAAATTCCAATATCATCAATGGAAGAAACCAATTGAATGGAGGGAAGAGAGAGAAATTAAACTGTGTGTAATAATCACTAATAAGCATCCAACAATAGTGAATTACCTAGCTTGAAATTTAAACCCAGAGTATATTTAATTACCATACCTTCCAATTGGTCTAAGTAATGATGATCATCCCATCAAGTCATATTCTCAAACAGATCCAAGAAATTGTACAAAAAGTGTTCATTATAAAACCTAAGAACAAACAAATTATAAACTTTCAGGTAATTAAGAAAACACCAAATACATCTGCCACCAATAAATTATTCAGATATATATATATATATATATAGTAAATTAAACAAAAGACATAAAGACTCGGATCATCGTCGTCGTTGTCGTCATTTTCTTTTAATTTATTCAAAACGCAGAGAAGCAAAAGGAGAAAGATATATAGTTCACAATTCTCCATGGACATAAATATGGATTATGAACACATGCTCTCCTGGATCTTCTTCATCATATAGAACTACTTCTTCTGATCTTCTTCACACCTAATTCTATAGTAATCTAATTATTATATGATTATCTTCCCTCAATTCTATTTAACCATTCAATAATCATATTCCTACCCCTTCAAACCACAGAAAATCAAAGCATCAACAGATAATTAACTCATTGATTGATTAGATCTGATCAAATTCTGTCTAAGACTCATCTTTTTATTAATTTAATTCTCTAAAAAGGTTGCCTTCCATGAGCTGCCCAAGCAAGAGCTTCATGATGATGACCTACCTGCCCACCACCACCACCATTGGGAAGCAGATTTGGTGGCAGATTATACAAAGGAAGTGATGAAGGATCTGGAATCCCTCCTTGCAAGTGGCCCCCACTGCTTCCGATCCCCGGCTGTGCCTGCGGGGAAGACCCTCCGCCTCCGCTTCCACCGCCTTGCCCAGCGGCGCTGCCGCCCTCGTCTTCATCATCAAGAGGTAGTCTCTCATAAGTTGCATTTGCAAAAGTTGCAGCAATGACCATCACTGGTCCTGCTGCCACTAGTGACCCCACCACGCTTCCACCGACAACCTGGCCTTGTCCTCCGGCGAGGTAAATTGTTAGTCCCGTGGATCCCGGTGGTGCCGGTCCGGGCAAGAAGGCTCCGGTTAGGGATAGAATCTCAAACCTTCCATGGAGAGCCACAAGAGCTCCCGGAGCTGCAGGTTGGCGAAGAGTGACGTTAGCGACGGAGCCACTTCCACTAAGCACACAAACCCCACGTTGACGGCGGCGAGCGAACTGAGCTACGCTTTCTGCTACATCGGCTCCGCCGGCGACCTCCATGACGTGGCTTCGTAGAGCATTTGGGCTGTCTCGGGTCACAAAGATGGGCGGTTTTGGTTTGTTCTTGGAACCAGGTGGTCGGCCTCGAGGTCTGCGAGTTCCGACTTCAACTGCACCTTCTTTGGGTTCGTCTCTATCATCGTCTTCGTCTCTGTTATTGCCGCCACTGTTCTTGCCGCTGCTTTCGTTGATAGAGAGGTCGGTGTTGTGCCGTTTGTTCACCGACGGTGAATTGGCCGCCGGGTCAACCCCCGGCAACCCCACCTGACCGGTCCACCAAGGATTAGCCAGAATTGCTAGTTGAAGAGAGAGGTTATAATTGAAAGAAACAAAGAAGAAAGAAGGAGAAGAAGATGGATCAGCACAGAAAATAAGATCGACACCCAGAAAGAGAAACCGATCGATCCCAAATGGTGATGAACTAGTCGACGGATCTAAGTTAAATAACTTTGCCCGTGTTTTTCGATGTAATTCTCAGAAAAGTTATCAGATGGAACCAAAAGTCAAACAGGTAGAGGTGAGCGACACCGAGCTAGGGCTCTTCTTCTCTCTTGTGTAACCTAACCCGAGAGAGAGAGAGAGAAGAGACGAGAGAATTAGATTCAATTGTTTGCTGAAAGGGAATCAAATTAATGAAAGCAGTGAGTGTGCGAGAGAAGAATATGAGAGAGAAACGAGACAATGAACAACAAATGTGTTTGTTCCCTTTTAATTAATTAATTTGTTTATTTAATAAATCATCCCCTTTTTTTCCTGTCTATCTTCTACTAATTAGTGATCTCCCTTAGTGGACACAACATGGAACAGATGCGAAACCCCCTTCACAGAATCAAAGCATAACTTAAGACAACAAGTAAGAAGCCATCGAAAAAGAAAGAAGAGATTGAAAAAAAAAAAACGGAGAATAATTAATTAATTAATCAAACCAAAGCTCACCTTGTGAGACTTGAACTTGAACATATTAGACACTAAAAAGCAGCACACAGTAAATTAAAAAGCACGGCAGGGAAAGTTAATGTGGGACTTGGTTTTTGGTGTAAGCACTTAATTGGCTGTGATATATTTACATTCTCAGCTGTTCTAAGTTAGTTATATATATATATATATATATATATATATAATATGGTATAATCTTAAAAAGTGAAAACGAAATACAAAGACAATTACTGGGTCGGTAGAGGACAAAAATTTAAACCTTGTATTATATAAGTATCCATCGATTACCAAGAGAAAAAAAACTCTGCACACATGACTCTCTTCGCCCCCAACAGTTGATAATGAATTTCCACTACGCTATCTCTCTCTGAAAGTTATCTATCAGTAATATTCAACTAGTAATTCTTCATTCCTAAATACCGGAGCTGGTCAAGAGGTTTAATTTAGCTTCAAATAGCATGATATTTTGATCTAATTAATTGGTCTACCAAATTTATAATATGCTGACTAACGTACAGAATATCTCTATTAATTGCACTTATTAAATGATTTCTATGAGGGGGTAAATTTCCAATACAGATTATTAATTAAGGGATAATTAAAAAAATCAATACACATTTTTTGTAAATAAATAAGTTAATTAATTTTTAAATTTTTTATAAATTAGTTATTTATTTCTTATATTCAATATTGAATGAATATTGTATCTAATTGATTTCCTCCCACTATTTAAAAGTTTTTCAAATAATCTTAGTTTGTATCAATGCACATTTGCATTCAAATAACGTCTATTCATGATGGCCAAAAAAAAAAATCGATTCAAACGTTACTACCAATAAATGTCTTTTATTCCCTTACAATTTTTTAACTTTAGTTGCTTAAGTATGTACTCTCTCTCGGAGGAGAACAGATAACTAAGTTATTAAATTTGTTTTAAAATAAAAATTATTTTTTTAAGTTATCTTTATTTAAAATCATGAATTATATCAAATTGTAAAATTATTGCATCAAAATTTAAATCAGTGTAATTTTCTTAAAAAATGTCTCACAATAAACCCCAAGCAACGTAAATAAATTCAATTAATGGGGTGATATCAAAATAGAAACAAAAAAACTATTCTTTTAAAGGGTCTTGGAAATTAGGGTTTTTGGAGTAGCGTGCGCGTGTAGCTAGGTGGCGAGCACGTCGTTCTCTCTGGTCCCAAGGTATGAACGAGGGAAAGATAAACGAAGCTTTTTTTTGGGGGGGGGGGGGGGGGGGTGTGTGTGTGTGTGTGTGTGTGTGTGAGAGAGAGAGAGAGAGAGAGAGAGAGAGAGAGAGAGAGAGAGAGAGAGACAGCATTTTGAAGCCACTACGTGTCTGTTGGTCAATTGTTCTATTTATTACTACTTTCTAACGTGTTCAATTAGCTAATCACAATCAGTTTTATACATTTCAACTCTTTGGTAGGCGATCAGGTATTTAGATATTATATTATGTGTTGGTTACACAAATATCTAAATTTTAAATTACATGCAAATATTCATAAAATCTTAAGTAAATGGAAAATAAATAAAGTAGTTGGACCTAATGATAGTCCTATTGAAATTTGAAAATATGAGTGAAGAGGGTGCGTTGTGACTTTCTAAGCTATTCAATGAGATTTTGCACTCTAAAAAATGCTTGACGATTGGAAGCAAGGTACTTTAGTACATATTTACATGAATAAATAAAGGGGACAATTAGAATTGTGCAAGCTATTGAGGAATTAAACTCATAAGCCAAACTATGAAGTTATAGGAAAAGGTGATTGAACACAACTTAAGATTGGAGACTTATATTTTTTAAAACCAATTTGGGTTCATGCTTGGAAGGTCTACAACAGAAGTGATATATTTACTAGTATTAATGAAAAAATACCAGAACAAATGAAGAGTTGCATATAGTTTTTATTGATTTGGAAAAACACTCATGATGCTCGAGACGTTCTTTGGAAAGCTGGCATGTGTGAATTGCTTATATCAAAGTCATATAAGATATGTATAGGGATAACAACTAGTTTTAGAACACTTAGATGTGAGATAAAGTACTTTCCTATAAGGATTGGCCTACTCTAAGGATCACCTTTAAACCCTTATTTGTTTAACTTAGTCTTAAACATTCTAATTAAGCTTATCAAACAAGAAATCCCTGAGTGCATGTTTGTTAACGATATAGTTCTTATGGCTAAGTCAAAAAAAGAGATTAAGTCTATGCTTGAGTTATGGATTAGAAAGACCCCAGAGTTGGAGGGTTTTTGTCTAAATAAAAACAAGACACAATATGTGTTTTGCAATTTTGATAAAAGACAAGTTAGAAGTGATATGAAATTTAACTTGGGAGATCAAATCATTTCACAATGGGCAAAGTTTATATTTGGGATCAATTATACAAAAGGATGATGAAATTGATGGATATTTTGATCATAGAATTCAAGCTAGGTGATTTAAATAGAGAAAACTTATCAGAGTTATTTGTGATTGAAAGATATCTAATAAGGTGAAAGGGAAGGTTTATTGCACTGTTATAAGAGTAGAAATACTATATGGTAGTGAATACTGGACTTTTAAAGAAATAACATGGGCATAAAGTGGGAGTAGCCGACATGAGAATACTAAGATGGATATGTGCTCATACAAGAAAAGATGAAATTTGTAATGAATATATACATGAAAAAGTTAGAGTGGCTTCTATTAAAAGAAGACGGTAGAAAATCGTTTGAGATGGTTTAGTCTCATTTAAAGAAGGCCTATGAACGCGCTAGTGAGGGGAGTTGATTAAATAGTATGTAGTCCTTTGAAAAGAAGTAGAAGAAGGTGAAAGAGAATACCTAATAAAATTATTGAATGATATCTTTTGTTTACCAATCTATCCAAATGTTTGGTGGTTAATAAAACTCAATGATATCATATAATTCATATAGCTGATAAAGCTCTGTTATTGTATGCAATATTCATAAAAGTGCATTTTTTATCACTAACTTTACACGATATTTTATTTTGGTCTATGGTTTTCAAGTGCACCTTTACGATGCGCAATCTTAACACTGTTAGTCTTATAGTTTTGAATATTCAAGCGCATCCATCAAAAGAAATTCACCAGAAGCCCATTGACTCCTATTCCAAATAAAAATTTTCAATTGGTTTTTGAGTCTCTGTGACAACCAATATTAACAAGATTGATCATTATTATTTCTGAAAAATTTGACAAACTTCCACACTGATCGTGACGTACACAACCATTGTAGAATAATGTTTTTCTACACTTGCTGAACAACCAGCGTAGTACTTTCTATCCTGCTTGTAATTAGAACAAGTGTTAAAGGGTCTTTTTAATAGATGTAAAAAGGCCTTTATGCACTAGGGTGCCCGAAGTTAAATTAAGGGAAAATCCCATATAATTAAGCGTTCTGAATTCTAAAATCTCAAATAAGTTATTCTAATTTTACAAAGGACAAATAACACTACAAAAAAAAAGATTTTAGGCGATGACTTTCAACGGCGACAAAAAAAGTCGCGGCTCAAAGTGGACTTTCAGCGGCGACAAAAATGTCGCGCTGAAAGTGAACTTTGAGCGGTGAATTTTTTTGTCACCGCTGAAAGTATACCTTTGAACGGAAGGTGATGTAATCACTAGTGTCCTCGCTGAAGGTCTGACTTTCAGTGGCAACTTTATAATGTTGCCGCTAAAAGTGTATATTTTTTATTTTACAATAGTAATAAACAAATTCAATCCGGCTCAATGACAAGAAGATTGGACACGAAAGGAGGTGGTCACGAGTTCGAACCTTGGAGAAGACACATTTAAGGTGAAAATATTTGGACGATGACGTGGCGAGAAGGAGTGATGTGGCAATGACATGGAGGTGGCTAGTGATGACGTGGCACCTGGTCGGTGATGAGGTGGAGGTGACTAGTGATGATGTGGCGGCCGGCAACGATGACGTGGTGTTGGTAAAGTCAATTCTTCTTAGGCATCATTTTCAGGGGCGACAAAAAAGTTGCCGTTGAACATCCTTTGGTGGCGACAATCTGAAAATTCTTTGAGCAGCGACATTCTTGTCGCCGTTGAAAGTGTCTTTCAGTGGCGACAAATATCACCGCTGAAACTTCTAAAAGTCACCGCTAAAAGTGTCTTTCAGCAGCGACCTTTTTAGTCAACACTGAAAGTTTTTCAGCCATGGCTGCTACGGCAACGACTTTTCAGCGGCGACAAGTTGCCACTGAAAACTTTCAGTAGCAACTTTATACTTTCAGCGGTGACTTTTTGTCACCGTTGAAAGTCAATTTTTTTGTAGTGTAAGTCTATAAGTATTAAATTAGAATTTGCAAATTTTTATAAATTACCTCTATACCCTTCCTATCATGCCTATCCCCCCTCTCTTTTCCCCCCTCTTTCCTCCATATTCCATCACCGTAGACTCTGTTTGCCATTCTTAACTAGCAATCTGAGTAGACCCTAAAAAATCCATCTGCCGTGAATTTTGCCATAGAAGTAGGCACAACAACGCAAATAGCCGCTAAGTGGAAAACACGGGAGAAGAGGAACTAAATGCGAAGGTCTCAAATACTTCGAAAAGGAACTCAAATAACTCGGTGAAAAGCTCTAGCAGATTGTCAGAAGACAGAGGAAAACAAACCTAAAGAGACTTTTGTGTAGTTCTCAAACCCGTTGAAAGTGTTGTTAATCATATATTATGCAATGGAATGGCTTTTATGGTTGAATGACAAGAAAACATTAGGTGATGGTTTAATCGTAATGTTAACTTACCATTTGATATATGTAATATAGCTTCTGCCATAGGCCTATTGGTTTTTAGTAAATATTCACTTTAGTGTGGTCAATTCTATTATATATGTAGTAAATTATAGAAGTTATTGTTATCATGTTTACTATGATGTTCTTCAGGTGCACTTATATGCTAATTTGTCAACACATTTTAATCCTTGTTTAATTCCCCTAATAGGCTAGACTTGGTGGAAATTGACCATGGGAATGGTATAAAAATCATCAAATGCCTAAGACCATGGTTTGCAAAAAGCATTATTAAAACGATTACTTAAATTACGTAAATTGTCGTTCTCATTACTTGTTTTGTAAAATACTATGCGAATGACTAAAAATATGTTACAAAAATTGTTATACATTTGGTAACTTTTATTGCACACGTTGTTGTTTCGTTACATGTTTAGTTAAATTGTCTGCAAATAGACTAAAATTGGACACTACAAAAAAATAGTAGATTACCAGCAGTCCATTTCTAGTGGTTAAAAAAACCGCTACAAAAGTAGACATTTCTAGCAATTATACCACAAATTGCAAGAAATTTGCAGCACTTTGACTAGAAAGTGTGCGGGATCCATACATTTCTAGCAGTTTTGAACCAACCACTAGAAAGTGACTGCCACAACTATTGGTGTTATTTGGCGTGAAGTTGGCGCCATATTTCCAGCTATTAATTTCTAGTAGTTTTGTCGCTAGAACCACTAGAGAATGCAAATCGTCATTGCATTTTCTAACAGTTCCATAACAACTAGAAATTTTAACTAATTTTCTAGCATTTTACATTGAAACTGCTAGAAATGTTTTATTTTTCCCGAGGCCTGACACGTGGCTGCATGCTGGTGGCGGTAGACTGGCAACGTTACAAATTTTTAGGGTTTTCATATAACCGTAAGAAAATCGTAGCCTATATGTACCCTCATCCACCTTAGTTGCACACTTTTGGCAAATTGTGAAGTGAAGCTCTGCTGAATTCTCTCAACAAAGTATATCTATATCCGAATCCAAATCCAGATCCGGATAGTATTTTATATTTTCAAGTAAGAATATAAATTTATTTATAATTATTTTTGTTTTTAATTTTTTAATTTATTTAATTTATTATATTTTTTGTATTGAATTTAATAGACTAGTTTAGTTAGAGTTAATAGAAATATTTTTTTTATAATAGACTAGTTTATTTAGAGTTAATAGAAATAATTGTTTTTTTTAATGAGTTGATGGTAAATTTAAATGTTGTAAAATATATTTTTTCATTACAAGTGCTATTTGTTATTATGAGGATAACTCGTTGACTAGGAAGGAGCCGGTCGATCCTGATAGAGGAGGACCTAGCAAGAATCATGGTATTGGGGGTGATGATGTTGGTGAGCCATTCTCAAGAATTCATGACTACGATTTAAACGAGGAGGATATCTTGGGCTTCATGGAGCGTGATGATATCCAACCTACTAAGGAGGCTCATTTCTTAGGAGATGAACAACCTCATATTGATGTTGGTGAGGAGGAGGAGGTTCGGGGGAATGATAATCCCCATAATGAGTAGTGCCCTACTCCAAGGCACCAGACCGGTTTTGAAGTAGAGTTTGCGGGTAAGTATTTATTTAATTTTTTTTAATTTGACACTGTTTGATTTATATAAAAATTATTTTAATTTAATTGATATATAATTAATTTTCCAATTAAATTTTGCAGACTCTGAGGGGAGCAGGTCCTATAAGAGGCTGACAGCCAGAGATCTGTCCATGATAATGAGCAAACGAGTAGTTGTGCCACTGAATAAATTGGGCCAACTGATTAAGAAAGGTGGCCAGCTATATAATAAGTGTGTGTGCCTTCTTAGTCAGCAGCGAAGTTTATTCCCTATTTATGTGAAGGATTGGAAGAAAATCATTGTAGAAAAGAAGCAGTAAGGTTGGGAAATGATGAAGGTAATATAAATTTGTTATTCATAATTTTTTTAAATTAGTTAAATGAATATATATTATTTAAATTACTTAATTGTTTGATTATAATTTGTTATTTATAATTTTTTTAAATTAGTGAAATGAATATATATTTTATTTAAATCACTTAATTGTTTGATTATAATTATTTATTTAATTAATTTATTATTTATAATTTTTTTTCAATTAGTTAAATGATATATATATTTTATTTAAATTACTAAATAGTTTGATTATAGTTTGTTATTTATGTAATTTATTTTTTATTTATAATGTTTTTAAATTAGTTAAATGAATATACATATTTTATTTAAATCACTTAATTGCTTGATTATAATTTTTTATTTATTTAATTTATTTTTTATTTAAATTAGTGAAATGAATATAATTTTTTATTTTTTAATTACAAAGTAAATTTATATTGGGAGAGGAATTAATGGCGGATACCATTAAGAGACTTGGGGTGGCATAAAAGAACAGGAGGGCCAACCTGTAGCATGAGAAGAAAGGTGACGGGACGAGGCACCTGTAGGAAATACTAGCAGATATACCTGGTGGAGTCCTCGAGCAAGACTGGTCAAGTTTTGTGTATTTTAGGATGTCGGCTGAGTAGATGGTATGATATTATTGCATTAATTATAAAAAAATTTTATTTTTTGTCCAATTTGACCAATTTAATTTTTGTACATTTTGTTTCAGGCTCTTTTCTAAAGAAATACTAGGAATGTCGGGCAACAAACAATACGTCATAGGGCTAAATCGAGGAGCTTTATTATCACTTATGATGAGATTGTAAGTACATAAAAAGAATTTGTATGTTGTGTATATATATTTAATTTGTAATTAATAATTTTTTTTCATTTCATTTACAAAGGGAAAAGATGCTACAGGAGCGAGGATATATGCCCACCTATGGCGAGATGTAGCCAAGTCTGTACAGGCCTCGAGAGGGGTCTCCTATATCGGATGAGGTTAAGGAGATGACAGTAAGTAATTAATTAATTAATTATTAATATCACAATATAAATATTCCATACTAATATTTTATATTAATTTTGATAGGTGCGGATGACTCAGGTCGATACCAAGTTGCGATAGTCTCAGGGGTCTGCTTTCGATCCTGTTGCCTCACTTTCAGCTGGTCGTAGCCGAGCGCAGCACCCTGGTTGAGTTAGCGGGCTCTGTCTTGGACCCCCACCTAGTAGGTTGCCTCACTCAAGTGGCGTTAGCCCTTCATACACTACGAGGAGCTCTCAATCAGCAGCGATATCCTATCAGGTGAGCGCAGGAGCAAAGCGGCCGAGTTCCTCATCCTCTAAAGAGCTACAAGAGGAGATTAGGTAAGAGGTGGAGGCTAGGATAGAGGCCATGGTGGAGGCCAGGATGGAGGAGCATGATCGTCAGTTGCAGTTATAGCTTGACCAGTTCAATGCAGCTGCTATGGCCATGCGTGATGTGATTATCAATTTCGTTCTAAACATCTTGTTTCTCTAGTTCCCTGACATATGCTTGACACCAACCTAGCCCCTACACAACCAGTAGCAAACCCATCCCTAGCAAAACCAGTAGCCTACCTAGCCCTAGCAAGAGGATCCAGTGCTCGACGATCACGATGATGCTGTTTCTACCCCTCACCCCCTGATTTACGCCCTTTCGTTGTATTGGATTTTATTGTGTTATGTTTTATGTGGATATTTATTTAAATTTTATGTTTATTTATTTAAAACCATAGTTATTTAATTTTATTATTAGTCGCTCATTCCTTTTTTTTATTTGTTACTATTTTTTTTCAAGCAGATGAAATTTATATTGTATCACTGACAAGGCAATGTCCATGCTATTGGAATTACTGGGAGATGCTTTCCCTCAAGATGAATTCCCTCCATCTTTTTATGAAGCAAAGAAGATTATTAACAAGTTTGGCTTGAACTATAAGAAGATAGATACATGCCCAAATGATTGTATGTTGTACTGGGTAGATGATGCAAACAAGGAGATTTGTACAAGATGTAAGAGATCGCACTATAAGTCAATACAAAAGGGGAAAAAGCAGCAGAAGAAACTAGTCAAAATTCTCAGGTACAATTCATTATAATATGTTACTTGTTCTGTCTCTAAATATTCGATATTTGAAATTCTCAATACAATTTATTATAATGTGTTATTTGTTCTATCTCTAAATATTTGGTAGTTGAAATTCTTAATATATTATTTTGTTAGATACTTTCCTTTGAAACTACAGTTGCAAATAATATATATGTCATCAAAAATGGCTAAGCACATGAGGTGGCTTGTGACTGAGGAAAATCTAGATGGCAAGTTAAGACACCCACGAGATTCTGAGGCGTGGAAAATGTTTGATGCGAAATTTCCAACCTTTGCTGGTGATCCTAGAAATGTACATCTTGTGTTGGCAACCGATGGTTTTAATCCCTTCAGAAATATGAGCACAAGCTACAGTATCTGGTAGGTAGTGTTAATTCCATACAATCTTCCACCTTGAATGTGCATGAAGCAGAGCTCTTTTTTGCTTTCCATTATCATTCCTGGCAAGAAAGCACCGGGAAATGATATAGACATATGCTTGCAACTGTTGATACACAAATTGATTGACCTGTGGACGAATGGTGTTAAGACATATGACTCATATAACAAGCGACTATTCAATCTCCGTGCAGTCTTAATGTGGACAATAAGTGATTTTC